CCGCAGAGGTGGCTCACTGATTCCATCTCTGCCTGTGACTCGTCGTCCGTTGTTGGCGACTCTGGGGCCTCCTCCATCACAGACTGGAAGGACTCCTGGATGATGGCTTGAAGTTCCATTGAGTCTTTCCTGTCCAGTAGGACCACGCCCAGCATCCATGACAGGAGCTGCCTGCAGGTGCCCCTGTCCTCTGCCGACGGCAGCAGGCGACAGAGGAGTGCTGAGATGACCCCGATGGTTTTCTTCAGTCGATCCGGAAAGGATTCGACCATTACCTCCGCAGGCATTGAGCTGGACGACCCGTCGAGTCGGGGCTGGGTCACTGGGTATGTCTGGGTGGCTGTCGACACTGCAGCAGCATAAGCTGGGTGCACCCTGGGCCCGGCATGAGTGGCCATGGGCTTCCAAGTCCCCTGGCGGGGAACCTCTGCCTGACTCTGGCCACTCACAGTCAGGGCCTGCCCTTGGGAAGAGGCCTGCTGGCCGTATGGCAAGGAATGTTGGTGCCCAGCTGGGACCTGCTGGGCAGTGTGCCTGGCCTGTGGCTGTTTTTCCCAATGATTCTGTCTTCTTGGCCACCTTGCCATCTGACGCCGCAGTTGACCGCGCTGCTGCAAACCAGTGTCTGCCCCCTGATGCCACCGCTGGGAGCCCAGTGCTGGGAACTCGCTGGTATTGCCCTCCTGCGGTATCCGGGGAACCGTGATTGGAGCCCATGCTGACTGTTGCTGGGCAGTTCCAAGGCTGGGTGGCGTCGGGGCTGTCGGGTCGTTCCGATGACGAACCTGCTGCCAGTGCTGCACCATCACAGGACAGCTCCGGTTCCAGGCATGGTGCCTCTTTGAGCAGTTGGCACACTTGGGCTCTGGCCGAAGGGCTTCGCCAGTTGGCTGTTTGAGGATTGCAATGCAGTCCTTCGAGTCGTGTGCCTTGCTGCACACACCACACTTCTTCTCTCGCTGGCAGGTGGCTGCAATATGATTGAACCCCTGGCAGTTGAAGCATTGTACTGGGCCTGACAGGTATGGTCGGGTCTTGAATCTTCCCCAGACCCCAAGGTCCAGGTGCGTGGGAAGTGGACCTTTGTGGTGGATCAGCACCTGGCGGGTGGGCACCTTGTTCACCGTTGCAGTGAGTCGCTCCGCCTTGACAATATTGGGCACTTCCAAAATGGGGTCCAGTGGGAGGGGCACAGGGACGTGTAAAAGCACCCCCTTGTACACCTTCTCCGAAGCAAGCAGTTCCACCATGCTGGGATGGGTCACAACCAGCCCCTTCAACTCCTCGTAAGTCTCTTCGTCCTGAGGAATGACCAGAACCTCGTTCCTGAGAGTGAACTCGCAGCGGAACTTGAGGTGGGGGAAACCTTCCAGATACCTTACAAACCCGTAGTTGGGAACCTTGAATTTGTTGAAGGCCCTGGTTGCTTGTGCCCGAGCTGAGCGGGAACTCCTCCTTCCACGTGGAGTCAGCCAGTCCCCGCCCACTGTGGAGGCCAACGCAACTGGTGTAGGGACCTGGGATGGCTCCATCCTTGCCACTTGAGGAGCTACATCCTCCTGGCTTCCTTCCACGACCCCTATGGCCATCTGGGGGTGCAAGTCTTCTTGGGTAGGGGCTGCCGACGGACCTAGTGGCAGATTGGTAGGTACAGTAGTCTCCACTGCATCCTTGGCCTTCTTGGTGGGGGCTCCCACCTGCCCCACGTCGTCCTCCAACTCGTCCCCGCATTCCAAGGAACGTTTAGGCCGCTCTCCTGGATCTGTCATGGTGACTGTAGGTGTGGGGACAGAGCCAGCAGCAGAGCTGCTGCCTATGACCTCACAGCCGCCCACACTGGGTGCAGAGCTGTGAGGCTCAGAGCCCCAGTCGGGGCCAGTAGCCACCCTCTCGTGGCTCACTGCTCTGAAGCACTGAACACAGTCCAAGGATCACCAGGAATGACGCTAATCTGTGCGTAAACTAACACAGATTTGCGAACACAACACACACTGTTTTCCAATCTTCGTCCAGTCGATAATCCTTATGAATTGAAATTCGTGTCCCGATGTGTAGAATAGAATAGAATAGGATATCATAATAAAGTCAGGCATTGATACATATTTACTTTAAATTCGATTATTTCCAAGCGCCTCAAAAAAAAAAAAATCAGTAACAAAAAAAAAGAATTTACTATATTAAATAAATCTCCGATTATGTGCTATCATCTTGAAACAAAAAATAAAGTATAATATGAACACATTAATTTTAGTTTCATAGTGATTTATTCATCAATATACAACAGCAAATGTATAATTGACTTTTCAGCCTGAGCTTGCTACCATCTGCAGCTCATAAGACTGCCATCCCCACGAGACCATTTGAGGCGGGATAGATGGCAGACCAGAGGCCTAGCTTCTCCCTACGAGCCCCGTGACGGCGGGGAATGTGGCTAGGCCTGGGGACACTTGGTCCCAAAGATGAGGAGGTACTGTACCTCCTCCCATGGGAGACTTAAGTCTCGAGACACTCCCCAGATAGGGAGCCAAGGCCGGGTCACCACTACTTGGAAAAGACCCGGGCCCGGAGAATACCGGCGAATAAAAAAAAAAATTGATTTCAGAAAGTCAAATTATTATTATTATTAAATATTAGCCGGTATTCTCCCGGCCCGGGCCTTTTCCAAGTGGTGGCCCGGCCTTGGCTCCCTCTTTAGGGAGTGTCTGAGACCTAAGTCTCCCATGGGAGGAGGCACAAGTACCTCCTCATCTTTGGGACCAACTGTCCCCAGGCCTAGCCATAAGCTAGGCCTCTCTGGTCTGCCATCCCCGCCCCAAGGGGGCAAATGGGAATGACAGTCTTGTGAGCTAAAGGCTCGGGCTCAGGCACCTACTCTACCCTAGCGGCTAGCTGGTCTAGTGGCTAACGCGACGGGCTGGAGTTTTGAGACTCTATGACCGCGGGTTCAATCCCGGCCGGGGGTATGGTTTAAGGGTTAGGCATGGTGTCGATCAGAAAGTCAAAATTTAATTGTTTAAACTATAGTAGTATTTTTATGAGTAAAAACCACATAATGTCTTACAAAAGACATGTTAAAAATTAATGTATCTTTGGAAAATAAACTTAGAATAATTTTGCCCTGACTTTGGTATATAATTTTTTATTTAAATAATATGGCAAACATTATCTTTTCTATACAATTATTTTAATTTGCATCATTATTTCTTAATACATTTTAAAAATTAATTACAACTTTTAAAATTAATTTTTTATTTTTATTAACTTTAAACTTTAAATAAAGTATTTATATTATAAGTGTATAGTAAGGCACTTCACGATAACAATATAAAATTAATAACCTATCGTAGCCTCCATGTTTTTAGGGGACACTACGAAATTTAAAGATTTTTATCCCGGTTGCAAATGCCTCTGGATGCTCATAATGAGTGTCCGTGGTTCGATCCCCGGCATGGGTGAAAACTTTGGATATGTTTCCTGACATCTGCTGTCCCTATTCACGTAGTAGTAAGTAGGCACCTGGGTGTAGTCACCTTGCACCTGCTGTCCCTGTTCACCTAGCAGTACAATAGGTACTTGGGTGTTAGTCACTTACACCTGCAGTCTCTGTTCATCTGTTAGTAAGTAGATACCTGGGTGTTAGTTACATTACACCTGCTGTCCCTGTTCACCTAACATTAAGTAGGTACATTAATGTTATCGCCGCATCCTGAGGACAAGATTGAAGACCACAATTGTAATATGACAGACAGTCCTCGATGACTTTATTGGGTTATCCTGGGTGGATAACCCTCCCCTAGGTTAAAAATCCCAAAAAATCTTATTTTCCCAAGAGAATATTACTCTGTTACAAGAAAGGTTCACTGTCAGTCATTAAAACAAGCTTATATACGACTGACACACATGTAACAGGTCATATATTTGATGTTGCTACATAGAAAGCCGCTTGTTATGCAGAGCATTTCGGGAAAACTTCCAGTTACCCATTTTACTGATGGGTGAACTTAGACAAAGAAGTCACCTTTCCCACGAACCCTCCTAGGGCGGGGAAGGTGCCAATTGAACTGCCAGAGCCAGAGCTTGCTACCACCTGCAGCTCACAAGACTGCCATTCCTACGAGCCCCCCTGGGGCGGAGAAGACGGCAGATCAGAGGCCTAGCTCCTTACTGACTGGTGGTGAATTTGTTACATGCAGGTTTAAAATCTATTGTTCTGCAACCACCCCCTCATTCGAAATCTCTCGAAAGGGTCAAACTAGCATCATATTTTATTACATAATTATTATTTCATTCAAATTTACACATGCTGAATTTAGGAAAATCCAAAATTTTAACCCAACTGTAATACAAGCAAATAGTAATAAACAACTTAGCATACTATATAAATACCAATACAAAGATTACATTTTTCTGCAGTATAGATATAATAACATTTACTACAAATATATGTACAAGGTATACAGACCATAGCTGACATCAATGACACATTCACGGCCTAATTGCCAGAGAGTGTGAACGTGCCTCGCACCCCTCTGCTGACAGCCTAGCAAGCTATCCAGTGACGTCATGGTACTTAGGTGACAAGGCGTGTGAATACCATGGGTATAAAACTTAATGGATTGGCGGTTATGCCTATGACTGCACAAGTGTTGATACCCATGATTATCTGTGACACTTAAGGAATTGAGGACAAGGATTTGTTTGGCGTGGCTTTGAATGGATCCTACAAGCTATTTGTGAAACTACTCTCTGTACCAGTGTATGAGAGGCTTGTTGACCGCTTCCAAGATATGTGTGTAGATGTGACCCCTGCAGTGCATGTGCATATGGGGGATGTCTCACGACAATACACGTGGGTATAACTGCGCAATGTGCCCTTTGAAGCCGATGAGACAGATATACTCCGTGTTTTCAGCAGATATTGAGTGATACAATTCGTACAACCAGGCAAGTGGGTGGGTGGGGCTTATACTGGTCTCCCCGAGGGCACGTTTACCCTTAAGATGTCTCTATGCCAGGCCATACCATCGTATGTGTACCTTGATGTCTACCGCACACAGGTCATGGTGTCGTATGCTGGACAACAACGGACGTTCCGCCTCTGCAGAGACTATGATCATATGGCAGCAGAGTGCAGTAAGCGTGGGCAGGCCAGGAGGCTGGCCGGTGGAGCAACAGCCATTGATGAGCAGGAGGATCTCGTACATGGCCGACAAGGAGATGGTGGGCATGGTCAACTTTGGAGTGAAGAGACTGAGGCGCCAGTGGTGGAGTTGGAACTGGAGCTGACGACTACCACATCACCTACACTGCTGGTGGTACAGCAAGCTTGTAGGGAGGACCAGGTGACTGTGGAAGTTGTGGAATTCAATGCAACAATAGCATTGGTATTGCAAACCATGTTCCCTTCTACAGATGGTGTCTCCCCGGCTGTGCTGTTGGCCAGTCCGGAGCTCATATCTGTGGTGGCCGAGTGGCAGGAGGCGGCTGTGAGTGCTGGTGAGGCTGGCGGGGGCATGCTGACCCCTGGTGGTGGTGGAGGCTCACCGTGTGGGCACCCCGGTCATGAGCATGGAGAAGGACGTTGGGACGAGGAGAGCGGCAGCACTGTCAGACTCTGACGGCGTTCTGATGCTGGCTCATACAAGGAAGAAGGCTTGGATAGAGGGAGGTCGTTGTGTGAGTAGAGGTGAGTAGAGCCAGAAGGTGGTGCCAGGAGGGACGGGTGTCGTGTGTGGTGAGCATGGTACATGTGGTCCCCAGGGCCCCTGTGTGCATACAAAAGGAGCAGTAGGGCAGTGAGGGTGGAAGCCTTAGCTCAGGCCTCTGGTGTATAACTATAAATGCTAATGGCTTGTGTGCCAGAGTGAAGTGTGAATGGTTGTGAACGTGTGTGTCGGCATCAATTGGATGTCGTTTTCCTTCAAGAACATAATTGTAACGTTGGCACAGTATTTGACATGAATGGTTATCAGGGTTTTGTTATGCCTTCAGTACAGTTGAAGGAGGTGTGGTGATCTTAATCCGGGAGGGAAGCCCAATAGTGTTGCTCCAAAGCGAAAGGAGGGTGAAGGTAGGGTCTTGCCTGTGGATGGATGGTATACTTCTTTCATAGTTTGCCACCTCTAGCAACCATGAGGGGGGGATTGGAATTGTGTTGTGTGCCATGCTAATGTGGCAACAAGGGGGGTGGGCTTCTTATCACATGTCTTAGGAGAGCTTTTACAGGATGTTCACTTGAAGGATGCATTTGTTGTGGGTTCGTGGGAGGTAGAACACACTTATGTGCGGAAAGGGTGTGGCTGCTGAGTCTTTCAGTACTGTTGTGACACCATTTTTATATCATAGGGCGGTAGTGGTGGATGTCAGGTGGGAGTCGCTAGCACAGAGGCAGGCAGGGTACTGGAAATTAATTAAGAAGGTTCTAAAAGGTGAAGAGGTGATGGGCGGTTTGCGACTTTATGGGAGGCGTTTGGGGAGGAGGGGTGGGTTGTTGAGGAAATGGTGAGTTGGTGGAATGGAGTGGCAAAGGAACAAATTCATAAATTCTATGTCTGTGAGGTGAAGAGGATCAATCAACTGCATTACAGCTTGTCTAATTACCTGGAACGTTGATTAAGGGGTTATGGTACAGTAGTGATGATGGGGGTTTAATTGGTGGAAGAGATAGACACATTGAATGGGAGGATCCATGAGTTGCAAGATAAGAGATTTGAGATTGTGAGGGTACAGGCAGGGGTGGATGAAGTTTATGGGGTGATAGACCGTTGGCGTCCATGCTGTGCGGTCAACAGCAATGATGGCAGGCCACCACTCTGGGGCAGTTGGAGGTGCATGGCACGGTAGAGGGATATCACGAGGGGCAGGTGCTGCAGTTGACACAGGGTATGGGCATGTATGCAGATTGGTGGTTCAAAGGTTATTGGAAAAGTTGAGGCATGGAGGTGGAGGGTTTAGGAGGGGTATGTGGGGACATATCGCATCACCTTGGGAGGAGTGATAGAACAGCATTGGGGGGAGACACTGAGGAGGAAATATGGTGGGTGTTGGCAGAGATGTGTAAGGGAAAGATGCCAGGTGTGGATGGATTGCCATGCAGATTTTACATGCAGCACTGGACACTGATGAGGGGCTTTCTGGTTCAGCTGCTGAACACGATGGAGGGGGGTAATGCGTGTTAATTCGGCAAGTGGTACTGAGGGTGGGGGGGTTTCCGTGAGGGGCAGTTGGGGAAGATGCATGATGCGCTGAGGGACTCGTACTGGGGGGTTGAGCTGAGGGAGTGTGAGACGGTCTTACATGTGATGGCAATGGCCAGTGAGCCTGGTAAACTCAGGGTGGAGTCTTGCAAAGAGTACTCATGGAGAGGGCAGTGACACTGGTAGAGGGGATTTACCCTATGTATGATTGGAGAAACATTTGGAGGTGTTTCAGTAGGATGCGGCTAAGTCCCCAGGTGCATGAGGTGATGTTCTGGTTTTTGCATGACATTTTGCCATTGGGTGCAGTACTGCGAGATAGGAAGGTTAGGGGGAAGGGCAATGTGGGATATATGGGGGCAAGGAAACAGCATTTCACATCGTATTTTTTTGTGAGGGGTTGGGGGGAATGGATTAATCGCTACGACAAGGTCCTAAATGCACTAGAAGACAAAAAGAATGCAGATGTAATATATACAGACTTTGCAAAAGCCTTCGACAAGTGTGACCATGGCGTAATAGCGCACAAAATGCGTGCTAAAGGAATAACAGGAAAAGTCGGTCGATGGATCTATAATTTCCTCACTAACAGAACACAGAGAGTAGTCGTCAACAGAGTAAAGTCCGAGGCAGCTACGGTGAAAAGCTCTGTTCCACAAGGCACAGTACTCGCTCCCATCTTGTTCCTCATCCTCATATCCGACATAGACAAGGATGTCAGCCACAGCACCGTGTCTTCCTTTGCAGATGACACCCGAATCTGCATGACAGTGTCTTCCATTGCAGACACTGCAAGGCTCCAGGCGGACATCAACCAAATCTTTCAGTGGGCTGCAGAAACAATATGAAGTTCAACGATGAGAAATTTCAATTACTCAGATATGGTAAACATGAGGAAATTAAATCTTCATCAGAGTACAAAACAAATTCTGGCCACAAAATAGAGCGAAACACCAATGTCAAAGACCTGGGAGTGATCATGTCGGAGGATCTCACCTTCAAGGACCATAACATTGTATCAATCGCATCTGCTAGAAAAATGACAGGATGGATAATGAGAACCTTCAAACTAGGGAGGCCAAGCCCATGATGACACTCTTCAGGTCACTTGTTCTATCTAGGCTGGAATATTGCTGCACACTAACAGTACCTTTCAAGGCAGGTGAAATTGCCGACCTAGAAAATGTACAGAGAACTTTCACAGCACGCATAACGGAGATAAAACACCTCAATTACTGGGAGCGCTTGAGGTTCCTAAACCTGTATTCCCTGGAACGCAAGGGAGATATACATGATTATATACACCTGGAAAATCCTAGAGGGACTAGTACCGAACTTGCACACGAAAATCACTCACTACGAAAGCAAAAGACTTGGCAGACGATGCACCATCCCCCCAATGAAAAGCAGGGGTGTCACTAGCACGTTAAGAGACCATATAATAAGTGTCAGGGGCCCGAGACTGTTCAACTGCCTCCCAGCACACATAAGGGGGATTACCAACAGACCCCTGGCAGTCTTTCAAGCTGGCACTGGACAAGCACCTAAAGTCAGTTCCTGATCAGCCGGGCTGTGGCTCATACGTTGGTTTGCATGCAGCCAGCAGCAACAGCCTGATTGATCAGGCTCTGATCCACCAGGAGGCCTGGTCACAGACCGGGCCGCGGGGCGTTGACCCCCGGAACTCTCTCCAGGTAACTCCAGGTAAATAGTGGTGAGAATAGAGGGAAGAAGTGTGTCAGTGCTGAGGGCACTAAGCCTGGACATGGAAGTGGAAGTCGAGGGAGTAGCACGTGCCATCGTGTACATGATGGTGGATTTAGTCTACATCTCATGACGCATGAGGGGGAAGGACGAGTGGGGGTGCAGAAGCAGCTATTTGCAGCAACGTTCTATAGAACGGTGTGTAGGAATAGGGACATTGTTGGGAATAGGTTGGAGGAGTGGTTTTTGGTGAGTTATAGAGCGCTCACAGTGAAAGGTCTCCCTGAGATGTAAGGGGTGTGTGAGAAGAGGGGATGACTACCACCTCCCCCACAGGTGTGTGGGGAAGGTGGTAGTCATGGAGAAAGGTCTTCGGCAGGGGTGTCCAATGTCACAACTTCTGTTTGCATGCATGCAGGACCCCTTTTACAGGTTGGTTGAGGACCATATGTGTGGAGGGAGTACAGGGGACAAGATGGCCTGGCCTGAGTTGGTGGGATATGTTGATGACACGACTGTTGTGGTGAGGGAGGGGACAAGGTTGGGGGAGTTATGGGAGGTCATTCGAGAGTTTGGAGGTGCAACAGGCATGGAAGTGAGCATTGAGAAATCAGCTATGGGGCTGGGGGCATGAAAGGGGAGAGGGGAGTTGGGTTGTGATGTGGTGAAGAGGCAGGTCGGAAGTTTAAAGATCTGTGGCATCATATATGAGGGGAACATGGGGGAAGTGAAGGAGGCCAACTCGGTTTGGATGGTGAAATGGGTGGAAGACCGATTGAGGGCGTTGCGTCCTTACCATCTAACCCTCTTACAATGACCTATCATGATAAACATCTTACTGTTTAGGTCTTGTATGTGGCAGCAGTGTATCTGTTGATGGGGCGGCAATTACATGTGTCCTTAGGCAGGTGTATAAATTTTATGGGTTCAGGGTGTGATTGGATGTGTCGAGAGGTAGTGATGCTGCTAGTGCGTCAGGGTGGGTTGGGTTTACTGGACCTGTGTTGGCGAGTCAAATGTGTGTTTATTCGACGGAAGGTGCTGCATGTTGGGGTTTTTTGTGGGGGGCAGATGGGAAGGGTGCATGACTGACTGAGGAGTTCATATGGGGATGCGGAGTTGTGAGAGTGTGAGACTGTTATGAGCATTGGTGATGGCTTGAGAGCCTGAGAAAATCAGGGTGGGGTTTTTGGCCGTAGGTAGGGCAGTCGCCCTGGTGGGGGCATTTTCTCTTTGTACACATGGGGGGACATCTGGCTCTATTTCAGCAAATTGAGGTTATGCCCCAGGGCTCACGAGGTGATGTATCACTTCCTGCATGGTATTTTGCCGTTGGGAGCGGTACTATGCAAAAGATGGATCATGGAGGGGAGGGGGTGTGGGATATGTGGGGGAGGAGACAGTATATCATGTGGTATATTTTTGTGTGGGTTTGGAGAGCATTAGGGAATGGATGAGTAGGGTGGTGGCGAGGGTGAGGGGAAGGGGTGTGTCAGTGCTGCATGTCTTTAGTCTTGACATGGGGGGGTGGAGGAGGGTGTAGCCAGGGCACTAGCGTATGTAACGGTAGATTTTGTATACATTTCGTAAGGTATGTGAGGAAGGGGGGACTGGGAGGTGAGGAATCGAGTATTAGCAGCGACTTTCTATAGAACGTTGTGTAGAAACAGGGACATATACAGGAAACGGTGAGGGGCAGCATTTTC